GATCACCTGAAGACACCCACACTCTTACCGATGCCATTGTTTGGCGCCAATGAGTTCAACCCCGATGTGAAAGTGGTTCGCGTCGAGGGATCTTTCAATCATTTGGCGGCGATTACCAGTTAGTGATCACTATATTCAACAACTCTTCACTTAATACTTGCTTTAATTATTATTTAATGACTAATTTGTAGATAAGGGCGACCTTTATATGTGGGGTAAGAATACGGACGGATGTTTAGGTCTCGGCCATAGAGCCGACCAATACTTCCCTTTTAGGGTATGTCTCAAACCGTGACCACAAGTGTTGCCATTGTTTTGCTAATTGTGTTCACTTTAACGGTCATAATATAGGTCTGCGTTCCGGCGTTTGTACGCAAAGTGAGTCTCGGAATTAATCACACGATTATAATCGGCTCTTCATTAGTATAATTGCCAATCAATGGCTCTCTTCTTAAATAACATGTAATGAATTATAAAAATGTATTTATTGTGTATTTTATAAATAACAGAAATGTAAAAACGTATGAATTAATGATGGTTTTAATGAAGAAATGATTTTATAAAACGAATAATAAAAGTGACAAATAATGAAAATAAAACTAAATTAAAACCAAATGAAGCAATTTTAAGTTGAAAAGTGAAAGAGGTTTAGATTTTTTTCAATTCTGACTCGAGTTTGTGTTTATCATTAAGACATGTATTGAGCAGTTGTTCCGAGAGTTGGCGATCGAGAAGAAGTTGGTTTTTATTTCGCAACTTTTCCTTCTCGAACCACTCCTTCTCCTTCTCTAACATGAGTTTGTCTTTAGTCAACCACTCCTTCTCCTTCTCTAACATGAGTTTGTCTTTAGTGAACCACTCCTTCTCCTTCTCTAACATGAGTTTGTCTTTAGTGAACCACTCTTTCTCTTTGACGAAAAGATCCTCTCTATTCAAGCGGTTCATCTCTTTGGATTCTCTAACATGAGTTTGTCTTTAGTCAACCACTCCTTCTCCTTCTCTAACATGAGTTTGTCTTTAGTGAACCACTCTTTCTCTTTGACGAAAAGATCCTCTCTATTCAAGCGGTTCATCTCTTTGGCAAACCATTCTGTCTTTTGGTCCCATTCTTTGGCCAATTGGTCCTTCTCTTTGGCCAATTGGTCCTTATCTTTGATGAGTTGTTCCCTATCGTCGTTCAATAGTTTCTTGTAATCATATATTCGTGTCCATTCTTCCTTAATGAGTGAGCCATTCACGACACTACCCGTCACTTCACAGATAGGTTGCACCTCTTGGGCGACAACATTCATACCGTCTTTTATAGCATTTGGGATCCAGAAGTAGTTCGTCTCTCCTATTGTGTCATATATTATAATTAATATCTTAGAATTGCATTGAATTGATGTCACGTTTTAAAATATGTCCAATAATTAAATCCATGGAAACCTCATATAAATGCAAAATATAATAATAAGTTTTGTCTATTAGAAAATATGGGCCAATAATAATGCAATATTAATAATATTTTAATAATACATAGTTTTAGTGATACAAAAGCCATGCATCGGGTGTCGGGACCGCAAATACTCTGAGAGACACAACTCTAACTTCAAACTCAGACTAATTAAAGGATTTGATTAGATTTATAAGTCATATACAACTTATAATATATATGTCATATACATAATATATAACTTGAAACTAATTCAGTTATGATTATATTAATTGAAGTTTTATTTTATTTACGACAATAAGCCTGATCTGGATGTCAGCCCTGAGCCGGACGTGTCGTCCAAAGGCAGTGTTGATAGGATTGGTGTCAACAGTGGTTGTGTTGACTCTGTTTGTCATCATTTATAAGATCGGAAACTCGAGATTCAGAGCAAACAAAGACAAAGAGAATAATAAAGTTGTCTTCAATTT